TCCATGTCTGGAGACATTCCATAGTTCTTACAGGGCCCACAAGACCGTAAAGGGCCACAAAACCAAAGACGACTAAGACTAAAAAGCATCAGTGAGAGATAGTTCACCTTGCTCTGCTCATTTCTCTTCATCTGATAGACTTTTTGACTGTTTTCCTATACGTACAAATTTGTTTATCATGTCAGATCTGTGCCTGCATGTATCAAAATATTATTGTCCCTGCATTTTAACAGCATTAGCTTATTTCACTGACTCTTCAATTCATCTTGAAGAACAGCTCAAGATCACAGGCCCCTGAGAGCAGACATTCAGTAACATTGCTACTTTCCCTAATGTTACTTGGTTTTGACAACTGTACTTTTTGTTTTGCCTCCACAAAGCTCAAATTGTTCTTGTGATGTATTTTGCATCTTGCCATCGAATTGCATTTTACTGATGTTTTAGTTTTTTGCTTTATATTAACATATTATCTTCTAAAGCAAACTAATTTCTCAGAATAATGATCTCTGTTAGTGTAAAACTTCAGTCTCAAATTTTTAAATGATGAGACGTCAGAAATCATACGTGATCTAACTCTATAGGGCAAAGATATCCACACATATCATACTGACAAACGTGTAAGGACAAATACTATGCTAAGTATGTGTGTATAATTCTAAATATTAAAGTAGCTAGGGCTTGGACAAATTCAACCGGGGGAGAAAAAACTAATCAGTTGCATTTATACATTTTCTGAAGACATACTGACTTCATAAATCCTTTACATAGTAAAAAAGCATATCCCTTGTTTAAAAGGAGCAACAAACGCTTTAAACACTGCTCACTGATCTTATTTTAACGCACATTTTATTCCATCTATATTATGGAAGTAAAAGAATGGAAACAAGAGAACTCAAAACATGAGCTTGAGGACAAGACACTACATCAAACTACTGCCAGAAATCTTCTATGAAAACAACAAAAAAGCCAAGTAACATCACTTATAAAAAAACACTTACAGCGGACTTGTCTTTGTTTCAATGAGCTTTTGAACAGAGAAATCACTAGTTAAGGCAATGATCTTTGTTCCACAGCCTCCCCAGATCATATTTCTTTCAGACAAGTATGAGGATTCGTTTAAGCACATCAGTGGTGTGCTAACATTTCCTATAGTTAGTATCTTCAAAGGTGTAGCACCCTTACACTGCAAGAAAAAAATATACTCTCCATTAGAAACAAGGAGTATACAGACATTCAGAAACTGTTAAAAGAAGGCCACACAGTCTGCAGAATTAAATTTACACAGCTAGATTTTCTGAACCATTATGGTATCTTTCCAGAATGTATGAGACCGTAGTCTCATCATAGGTGTCCCATAAACAGAGGCTGTGTGAGTGGAAACAGGACAGAGCCGGGACTGACACTTTCTGCAACCCCCGGAGCAGTTCAAGAACTGTATGGGAAGTTACATCCATATCTTGCAGAAATCCCGTAGGTGACCCTATTCTAGTTCTACAATGCATTTCAACTCTGTAAGTGCTCTAAGTTGCATATGGTGAGGAGCTAACCCTCAGGAAGCAGCTGACATAAGCAGCTCCCAGCATTTCTTTATCTGTTCTGTGAGCAGAACTCGGACCTACAGAAAATCTAAACAATATTGTCTTTTTAAAGTTATTTATTCTACGGAAACTTAGTGTGAACAAAAAGAAAAAGGAGCTATTACAGCAATAAATAAAGGAGATTAAAACTGTGAAAATATTCTTAATAACAACAATTAATGTCATTCCCTAGTCAGTCTGCCAGGCCTTTCAAAGTCCTATAATGAGAATTAATTTCCCCCTCTTAACTCTGTTGGTTAAAACAGATACTGTAAAACACATGCAGTTCCTCTAAGACTGGAGTAGAAAATTATTTTTAGTTTCTGACAGTATTTGGTAGAACAGACAGCAAAGAACAAGTCTACCTTTACTGCTCTGTCTTCAAAAACTGCCAGTCTGCCATCAGCTGTGCCTACCAAGAAGAAATTCTTCTGTTTGCTGAAATAAAATAAAATAATGAATTCTAGAAATGCCTTAATCAGGTAAAGAAAAAATTAAATTATTAGAATTAGTAGCCTCCGGTATTTCAAGAGTTTCACTGAACACTAAAAGCAAATATAGCCACCTGTGGTCAGGAATGTAGTCTCCAGTTACACTGGGTGCAAAATTAAAGTGAAAATACAGGCAAAATAAGCAGTTGTCTAAACAAAACTGCATGAGTGTACAGATGACATCTTTTGAACATCTCTGTTTACTCATATTTTAAAAATGTAATCCAAAATATTTAAAATTAATTTATACCTTTGCTTTGAAAGAGAATTACAGTATAAACAAGTGATGGAATCTGACATTTTCTGCAGACGATGCCTTCTTGTTTCATCTTCTGTGTTAACTGCCCACAGAGAACCAGACTGGGTTCCTGCTACAATCCAGTTTTCTTTCTCAGTGGGAAGGGTCACTAAGGTCAAACTTAAAATTTTACTATCTGCAATGTCCTGAGTCAGAAAACAAAAGAAAAACAACCTGGTTATGATTTCAGTAAGGGTAAATGCTAGTAATTTGCTAGTAATAAAAATAAAGTACAATCTTCTTGGATCTTGGACAAATCCAAAGCCCAACCTCCCCATTAAGAAATCTAATTCCCTATTAGCAGAATACATGTTCAACTGTGCCATCTATCTTCAAAGTGTTGGGAGAGACCCCTCAAACAGTACACAGGAAAATCTCTAAGCTGGATGCTGAAAAACATATTGTCTCTCCCTATTCTAATGAAGGTTTCAAAGCCACCAGAGAATTAAGCAAATGAACTACACTGCAATACACATTCAGTTTAATTGCTAACAATAAAACTACTGGTCTAATACTTGTTTTTTTCATTTTAGTTTTAGAAAAATAAGCCATATAATTTATACCAAAGCTACCAATTAAAATACATCATGGTCAACAGATGGCAGATGGAAATATAACTTGAACAACTTTGATGATGAGTCACACTCAGTTCTGGCACACATGTTCATCACAGCACATCAAGCCTGGGTAAAAGCTTTTCCCTTTTCTGATGGCACAGGACTGAGATGTACAAAAAGCAAATGAAAAGAACTGGAGGGTATCACCCAAAGTGGCACAAGGAGGTGGGATCCATGTGAAGACAGGAATCGTTAAGAGACTATCTGGTTTGTCAGAGGAGATATGAAGGGCTGTGTAACTATTACTTCTTATTCCAGCCTCCCTGCTAGAAAGAGCTTCCATCTGAGTGGAAGAAAGGAACCCAGTAGTAGAAAGATGCTATTATGAGAAAGTTCAGCCTGGATGGCAGGAAGAGAGGAAAAAGTGATGGCGTTTCTGCTTCATTTCATGTATACAGTGATGACTCACTTTTAAGCAATCTTTGTTCTCTCAAAGCTTAGCTTTCCAGAAGTAATATCCTGCTGTTGAAATGCAATTAATTATTTTGAAATACATCTGGGTGCCAAAAAATTAGAATAAATGACAACTTTCCCACATACCTCACAAGTGTGTCCATCTGTATTTAGATTAACAAACGAAAGCTGTGCTCTTTCTGTGTTCCCATTGCCTATCCAGACTCCTGCCTTCTTGCAGATTTGATTGGCAGCTACCATGCATTCTGCTGTGGACGTGCTGGGTATAGAAACATACCTCATCAAACAGATGAGCTCTGCTGAATTCAGGATCTCATAAACCTACAAAGAAAGCCACAGCATGCACATGGTAAAAACCAATGGCTTGTACAGTGACAAATAAATAACAAGCAATGGATAACAATGTGTTATGGGATATGGACATAGCATCTCAGCAGGTCTGCTCATTTGTCTTACCACTACTAATGAGCAATCTTTGTGCACTCAGCAACTTTACATTCACTCATATTTTTCTGTTAAGATCTCAGGAAGTCAATGGGGTTAAGGGATGTTTGAAAATTTCACCCGTTTCAAAGAGCAACGGTGACGTGTGATAACAAAGTACGTTTCAGATCCACACCGCTGTTCCTCCTCTCACATGCATGGAACAGCGTAGGCTGACCGCACTGATACTATATAACAAAGTCCTTTTTGCATAGCTCTGGTAAAGACCATGAAGTAATCCGAATCCTGTTTCATTACAATCACTATACAGCAACACAGGGAAAACCAGCAGGCTAGAATAAATGGTTGGTAGATTCGAATGGAACAGTTTATCCTGGATGGGAAGAGCAGGCAATATTCCATGGCTATTTCAGTTCCAGAAAAGAAGATAAAAACCCCTGTGCCTCTTGCTAACTTAAATATCCCTTTTTAGAAAGCACAACTTCATCTTATCATCTATCTCAAAAATACAAATAAATACACTGAGTAATACCTGGGAAGATGTTGGTCGTTCCTGAGGGTTTTCCTTCAAACACTGTTTAATTAGATTTTCAACTTTAGGCCAGGGGGCACACCCATATTCTTTGACAGGATCTAAATGTAAAATTAGATAACTTCTTTAGTTCAGAAATGAGATTTCTGAATAACTTTCTGCTTTTTTAAGAATTCACCTAACTTCTTACAGAGCTGCTCTAAGAAATATCACACTCTTAGGTAAAATGTCAGCATGAACAGCTTGGAATTGCGCTCATCTAGCATGAAATGCTAGAGTTAGAGTCCTTTCCATTAAAAGCAGTTAAAGCACATGGATTTTGCTTTAACTTTTTTTGCTTTAACTTTTTTTTTAATGTCCCTCTACTTAACCACAGATATGTGTGAGTTGTGTTTTGATTAATGATGACCATTCAAGGTCATGTCATTTCAGTCTGTAGTCTTTTCAATTCTATTTTTTCGCCACATTTATTCTTCTGTGTTCGGGCAGAGTACATGGAATACAGATGAACTTCCAATAAAAGGTATAGCAATTTAGATAAACAACTCCATACAGTATTTATGAGATATGGAAGTTTAAATTCCCACTCAGTCCTTTGAATATGTATCTTATGACTGTAGGTGCTGACCTCTCTAAGAACAAATCACTCATCAGTAATGGTGCCGGTATTGCTTTTCCTTTTAGTCCACCTTAACCCACTACAGATAGTCCAGTCCTACATTAAACAGAGGTAATACTAATGATAAATACCTGCAAATGAATATATCCTGTCAGCAAATGATAGGCACTGTTTACTTGTGAGCTCAACCAGCCCCTTTTTTGGTAGAAATACATAAATGATGAGCATGTACACAGATGGGACTGTACTATTTCCAGAAACTAATACTTCTGATTATTTCTTAGGGCTTATAATACAGAAAATAGCCAAATGGACAGCTGCACTCATGAGATAATCAACAATTCTTGGGATGGCCTCTTTATAGAGGGGGTTTAAACTGTTTGAGCTGTGAATTAGACTATTCTCTTTGAAGAGCAGAAAACTCCCAGTCTCTCCTAAAGGAGAAGCCATGCCCGATTAAGTGGTATGGTTGCTGCCCTTTCCTAGATGGTGTGACTTTTTAGTCTTAAAGAATGTTTTATGAGTATATCCACTATTGCAGGGCAACAAATAAGAATGCCACAAACTAAGCTGGTAGTACTACAAAACTTCAACAGCTCTTTACACAGTAGTTGCCAAAAACTGAGTTACACTGTCCAGCTGACTACATCACGTCCAGCCTGATAGCCTGTCTAAACCTCCTTCCAGCAGCCAGCAACTGTGTATTTGTAATGCAGATGGAATATGAAGAATATTACGTAGCAGGGACTTCACACTCTTGACAAGTTAAAAGGGAATTCCTATTTAAAATGTTTAGGGGTGGCAGCTCTTTTAAGGGAGTGGCACTTTTTTTTTAAGTAAGATTTCAAGGCTTTTTAAAAAAAGATTTTAAGATATACAGCTTCTCTATGAAGGATTTTTTAACATAATGTATAACAATCAAAGAAGAGAAGTGGTCTTGTGTTCACCTTAGTGCATGATGTGCATTATTACAGTAATATGTAAAAGTCAAGTCCAGACATGGTACTAGAAGGTACCTTCAGCAACCTTTTTTAGCTAGGTCTGGATAAAGTCCCAAGTATACAAACCCTCTATTTCTTTATAAAAAGTGAAACAGCTAGATCCCTTGAAATTGCAATGAAATTATAACCAATGTGATGTTGAATAGATGCCTATTTCTCACTGTTTCCAGACAGTGTGACATTAGGAGAAGCTTCTACAAATTGCTATTATTTAGTTTCCTCCTCTGCTCACTGTCAGATACAACATAAAACACAAGAGGTGTTCTTTTTGGAGGAGGCAAGACAAATGGTCCACTTTCATGTTAAAACTTGAAGAAACAAGGCATACCTGGTAACTTTCCTTGTATTGCTAATTCATCAAATTCATTTGGAAACTTCAACCCTTCCATTATTCTACCTCCTCCTGTTAAAATGTCATAAAGCAGCAAACCAAATGAATAAACATCAGCTTGCTGATTGTAAATAACATTTCCTCTGGCAACCTCTGGTGCTCGAAACCCTGCAAATAAATAATTCATTAATAGTAATGATTCATACCAAGCTGAAGCCACCTTTATCCTTTTAAGAGCAAACACTTACTGATGAAAATGTCACAGGAGGTAAACCAAAAATGGTGCACTATTTCTGGGCTGGCAATAGTTTGCATGTGGCAGACCTCCAAAAATATCAGCAACCAGCATAAAGGAAGAGGACAGTACATCAGTTACAGAGGTTGTGCACCACTACACGTAAAAAAATTCATTCAGCAATGAGTACTGAAAAGGAAGGGTAAGTCTGCTGTCTTTACTGAAAGCCTAACATTTAACACTTGAAGTCACACCCTCATGCACAATTTCCAAGAACTAAAGGCAATTTTCAAAGTTGTTGAATTGTTCAGTGCTTTAAAATGGATGCTAATATGCTGTCTCTAAAGTCAGGGAACAGTGCAGGTAATTTTTTTTTTAAGGCAATAAATAAGACCTATTTATGCATTACTGAAAATTAAAACAACCAATACTTTTAGCAGTATAATTTCAACATCACAATAACAATAATAAAACAAGACAGAAAAAAAAATTAACGCATGTAATTAAATTTGTTCTCTTTTTAAAGGGAACTTCTTAATTCTAAAGAGTATACTCCTTGATTCTTCTAAAAGGAGTTAAACATGAATAGGAAGCAAGGCCAAGAGGTATAAATCTGGCATCACAACTTGTAATAGGATTAGGACTACATTTCATGATTTTGACTAGAGGATAGATTTGAGTTAGTTCTCACAGATAAAATAAAAAACACCCTAGCTATTTTTTGACATAATGAACTGCAAACCAAAGCATTTTTCCATACCTGGTGTGCCTTCAGAGGTTTTTATTCCCATTCGGCAACAATACTGGGCAATGCCATAGTCAGCTATTTTTGCAATAATAGCTGAATTGGGATAGAGGGTAAAGAGCAACACATTGTGAGGCTTTAAATCACGGTAGATGATCATTGCTGAATGCAGGTACCTGTTAATGAAAAAGGTATTTATTGAAAGCATTCATAACTAGGGATGCATCTATAATCACACACAGTGAAAGCATTATTCCCACAACAGTAAATCGTGCTTTCAATTGTTAAATATTGTGTTAAAAATGTCAAACATCACCGACACCACCTTACTGGATATTGACTATAGAATTGTTCTGAAATACTATTTACTGGCACATAAACAGTGCATTATTTTAGTACCATGTCCTATCTGAAGTGTCACTGGCAGTTTGAAAACTGAATCTTAGAAGTTTAAGCTTCGTTGGTCCCTGAGCTCCTTTTCAGTTTTTGTGGTTCCACAGTCACACTTCAATAGCTCCTGAGGACATTCATGGACTTTCAGAACTTTAAAAATACACCGAATTAATGTCTTTGACATTTTAATAAGAAAACAAGAGCCACATAGGAATTCCACCCAGGGGTCTTGCTACTTCTCTACTTATGAGAGTGCCACTTGTTAGCAGAAAAAAACCAGGTAACAAAAATTTGTGTTATATATCAGCTAATCAATCATAAAAATACAAGTATTTGTCTGACCCAGGGAATACTCTGCTTGAGATATAAGAAAAGATAAGCTTTTCACTTGCAGCTGTATCTTGTTTTTACAGCAACACAGAAGTCACATTTACCTTAAACCATCAGCTACATGTAGAGCTATCCTGTGCTGAAGTGTTCTCGTTAAACTTGCATTGTCCTGTTGAAGCAAACGATCGAGAGATCCTTTAAGGGCTAATTCCATCACCAGCATCCGGGGACGGATTGCAGCAGCCAGCAGAGACACTAAACTGGGGTGATGGAGGTGACAAAGCACGGCAAGCTCCTGTAAATTGTAAAATCAGATTAAATACTGCAAATGGCATAACCTCTGTAGCTCTGAAGTAAACTCAGAAATGTTTTGGAGTGAAGTCTTGCACTTTGCTTGAGCTTTTTAAGGACTTCACTAGGATTGGTATTCCAAGAACAGCACTGCAGAAAAAAAGGCAATACTTCTTACCTGTCTTAGGAGCCTGAGGGAAGTATGTTTATTAAAGATCTTTACAGCAACCTCTTCTCCACCATAGGACGCACGATACACAGATCCAAACCCACCATCACCTTTTCAAGATAAAATTGAAAATAATATTAAAACAAAGGGATGCCAACCATTTCTCAAAAAACCCCAAAAAACTGAAAGGGTCCAATTTTAAAATGTGTGGATCATCTACTCTGTTAAGTTTCATGATCAGTAATCTGAACGCATAAAAAACAGTGTCCTAGGATACAAGTTAATGGAAAATCAAAACTCAGTAACCTGAAATTCAGAATATCTTAATTTTTTTTTTTTCACAGAAAAAAATCTCTAAAATGTTTTCCATATGTTGCAGAACTGACTTCAATAGATTTGTTTATGTAAGCTCTGTAAAAAACCCTACCAGATAATGCTTACCCAAGAGAAATTCAGGAGCTTCGTCAAATTCCAGGTCATCATTGTTCAACATAATATTTCTAGGTAAATCAGCCAATATCAGATCAGGAGCAATCTGAGCTATTGGAATGGTATGTGTTGGTTGATCTGGATTTACCAAAAGGTCACCTAAGAAAAATAAATGACACAATTGAAAAAAAAAAAAAGTAATCATCATTCAAAAGGCACAGAAAAGTACATAGATCTCAGTGATGTGCATATCATCACTGTACCTAAAATTCAATTAATATGTGTGTATAAAGATATATATCTATATATCTAAGTACACACACATAAACATTACATATATATATATATGGAACGGAAGACTAATTAAGTTTGCCATTTAACTTAATGCATTTTACATGTTTAAGTATTTTCAAGGTTCTGTATATGGACCAAGCAAATGTGATAACAACTGTTGCTATGTAACACCACCAAACTAACCAATAGATTATTTTTCTGTCTATAAAAAGAATTCTCTTAGCATGTAGAATGTCATCATTAATATTGCCTTTTAAATTACTGTTGTACATGGTCCAACCAAAAGATCTAGTTATCAGTTTTAGTATGTGCTGGACTTGATTCCATAAATGAAGTTGAATTATCAGTATAATAATAAAATTATTCTTTTTATTATTGCCATTTATACATGACTATACAGAGTAGCTGCAATCTGTCCCATACTCTATACTTACACTGACAGCTCCTACATAAAAAAAGAGCAAGTTGCTTTTCACTCATACTGTAATTATTTCTTACAGAAATTAAACATTTTAAAATAATGTGAGGTATACAAATATTATAAAGAGGATGTATAATATTTATCTATATAAGGTATACCTCAATATACCTCAAATGGCACAAATATATACCTTCTTCAGCCTTTTTAAGTAAGTCATCAAGTAGTATTTTTTGGTGTTCTTCACCATCCTGAAAGCTGTACAGAGCCCATTTCTTCAACAGTGTTTCCCCTTCACCACATACATCTATATCCAGCAAACCTGGAAACCATTCTTCCATAAGAGAATCTATGTGATCCACAACTTGCCCCAAAAGGATGCACCCTTTAAGAAACCAAAAGAGGGAAATTACAGCCTCAATCTGCCATACTTGTAATTACAAAACTAAACTCTACATTCCAAAGGCAAAAGCACAACAAACCAAAATGCCAAGCTGCAATCAAACTGGAGCAAAAATCAGGCTCAGGAATAATTAACCTTTTCTGCAAGAAGGTGCCGTAATTTTCAAAAAACTGTCTGGGTTGTTGTCAAATACTGCTGATTCCACAAGACAATAAGCTTCAGGAGACCAGTTCAAGTAGATGCCTTGTCTCCAATACATTCTATTAGGACGAAGAGCTCGTTCTAGAAAATAAAAAAATTAGATTAACAATCTGATCTCCAATATGAACGTCATATTTTAAAACATGCAGAATAATTAATGGTACTTTAAGTATTTAATTATGATTGTATGTTTACGCCTACCCAAATAACAAACAAAACAAAGGCTACAACTTTGCAGACAGAATACGTCCACCAAAGCTGAATATATGTCAACTGGTGTTCAGTTCTATAAGGTATATCTACAAACCAAATATTAAATCAGATGGTAAGTCACATAGCAGGTGATACATGTAGAGACTACAGAAATGCTTAGGTTCAAATACAGCATATCTTAGGCAACATATGAAAAAAAGTGATTTAGATTTTCGCTCTATCACACACACATGAAATAGCAAGATGTGACTGGAATTCACTGCTCAGGAAGAAATCAAACGCCAGGAGACCAGGCAGTGATAAATCGTATTTGTAGAGCATTAGCAATGCATAATTTACATACTTTACCTCTCACGAGTATTCATAAATCACGCATTAAAAAACCAAAGATGAATGACATTGCAAAGTTCAACAGACAGATCTCATGTCAAAGGATGGAATTACTGGGAGAAAAATGAAGACAACCGCCCCCCTCTGCTTCTGATAAAAGCAAAGTTTTTAGACTTTCATAAAGGGAGAATCTATGAACCTGAAGAAAAACAGTTTGTTTTTCTGTGTGGAAGACATATCCCTTCCTGTATTCCCTGTAGAGGCAAATGGCAACATTGCATAAATACAGGGATTTCCTCCATCTCTAGCATGCAAAGGAGAGAAATAGGCTGCTTACAACCTTCACTTGCTTTTGTACACCACTGAAAAGATCAGGCACTATTTGGATATTTCTAAGGTACAAAAATGACCACTGTTCTTTTTTTACACATTTGTGAAGTGGCCAGAAATTAGCTAAAGCAAAACAATATTGGGAATTAGAGATTTAATGTGCAGGTGCTGGCATTCAAAGCAAACATGCTCGCTATTGCTTTTAAAGATAAAGGTTTGTACCTCTTCCTGACAGCATGTAAGGTGATATTTCAAGCAACCTGTTGATCAGCCTGGACCAAAATCCCATAGGAAAGTATGGCATCTCATAAAGCCTGATGATAATTTCTGAATTTTCACAGTGGGGAAGTTCTATAACAGGTCTGTGATCAGACAAACTGAAAGAATAAAAAAATTAGAAAGTATTTAATAATGTACTTTATCCAAACTGACAGATGATATACATTATTTATTAAGTAAAATGTATTATTCATTCATGAATTAATGATTCAAATGACCAGGGAGCAGACAGACAGTGTATATGCTTATTCTGCTTGCTTGTGCTAAAGTGAAGTTCTGCTGTAATTTAACTTCAACAAAACCTCACTAACAATCATTATCTATCTAATGTAAATGTGAGAAAAACCTGAGACACATAGAAGACAGGTAAGACATTCAGAAAAAATCTTCCTGTCCCAGGACTTTGACAAACACAGAAGCTCTAATCAATGCAACCATGCAACACTCCGTTAAGCAAAACAAAAAACCCATTAGGGAAATCTGTAACTGAGGCAGAGAAAATGTGTTACCTGCTTCAGATAAAGTGAAAAGACCACATTGAAATTTATAACACTTTTTTGTCACCACACTTCATAACTAGGCTGTTTGGAGGAGATACTGCTCCCAAGTAACTTGACTGTTGTTCTCACTACAAGCAAATAGACTACAGAAAATCATGGTTATCTTTTATATTGCAATAAATATCTGTAATGCTGGCACACCACAATGTAAAGCTAAATTATAATCTTCCTGCTGTAGTCTAAAAGAATGGTAACCGTAAAAGAAATGTTATCCTCATAAAGCATCTTATCATCTATAGATTCCATTTACCTACCATGCTAATATGATGTGGGCTTTATCTGCTGCAAGATCAGCTTAACACGTCTGTGAAAGCATTTACTAAAATGTAGTGTATTAAGTATGCATCACGCTTTCATATACCAAATTGCTTTGATGGTTGGTTAAACTAGTTAGCCTGATGGGAGGTTTTTATTTTGACTGATCTCTACGGCTCCTATTTGTGGGTTTAGCTCTTTGCTTACCTGCTTGGGATTAGCAGCTGATCCTCTCCTAATGGCAAAGCAATCTGAAACTTTTCCAGAAGCTTGAAGTATTGTGACATGTAGATCTTAGGAAACTTGCTCTTCTTTAAAAGGAATTTTTCCACATCTGAACGCTTTACAATTCCCTTAGGATATTTAGAAAAGCCTTCCACTTTCACCGTCAGAATCTTTTAAAAAAAGTAAAACTATTTCAGGTGTACAGTTACATTTTGCATTTCCTGATTGCATTTTCCTGACAAACTTTGTTCCCTGAAATATTTGTTAGCCTATTAGTTAGGGGGAAAAAATGGACTCCCCAGTGAAATCAAACATTTTCCATTTCTTTCTAGCCAGCAAGAAGACAGCAGTGAAAAAATTTAACCTGTTCACCCGGTAGTGTGCTACCATTCTTCAGTAGCTTTCACTGTTCCATATTATACGGAAACTTGTTCTACAAGTTAATTTCTGAAAGTGTTCTCTGAAAGGAGCCTAGGTACAGCAATTTTTCATATCAGCACTTCACCCAAGAACACTGGTACCAATAACATGATCTTCTAGGTCTTTTCTCACTCTTAAGCCCACCTGCTTTAAAGGCTCAAACTTACATTTCTGCCATCCCATTTCCTGCACTGAATGAAAGGTAAAGTTTCAGAGGTTAGGAAATTCGAATATATATAAAAATTTTTGAGAGTGTTTCTAGATCAACATATCACTGATGGTTTCACTTAAGCCATCAGTCTGCTCCTCTCCCATCCGAACATGTGAATCTATATCCATATCCATTCACTTTCCTCTGCCATCTGTACCAAGCATATAATGACCCTTCTTCCCCCATTCTTACTACTTTAATCCAAAGTTCCAGCTTTCACTTCAACCTGTCACAACATATTGCAGGATTACTTTGCATCCCTGGGGTTTTTCTATCCTACATTTGTGTCCAGCATAGTTTAAATGGTAAATGATATATTACAGCATAAGAATATAGAAACCACAGAGACAGACAGTTGTCTAGAAAGCAAACAGAAAGAGCCAGGTAAATCAATCTGGGCCCAGAGAAAATTCTAGATCAAGAAACAGCAAGGAAATGGAAATATTAAAGAAGAATCACTAATAAGTTACAGTGGTTTTAGACAGGGGGAAAATTTCCATGAATGTAGACACAAAAAGTAACCAGAGTCTAACCTGTGCCATGATTTTACATAGCCACTTAGGATCTACAAAATACAGATCTCTTAACTGTAGTGCTGGATCTTGAAAATGAAGGAGTACACCTGCACAAAGAATATTGTAATTAGCAACAAATTTCTCAAGGTCCACAGTAAGCAAAATAAACACCCCACTCTGGACAGTTTTTCTATGTGACTTGACACGAGGAATTCAAATAATAAATACAGCTATTAAATTTATGTCACTATTTCAGGAGAGTAGAATGCAATCATGGTTTGTTCAGCTTTCCCTTTATTTTCAGATGTTTTGTTAGATTTGTAATCTGAATTGGAATTTTGACAAGTGGCTGTGTCGTTTATTATTTAATCTTATGAAGTCTGTATGGCAAGATAAACTGTTACAGATATTCATCTAACCTCTATTCTGTTCAAGCTATTATAACAATCACATCTTTCTTCAGAAACTGTGCTGTCTAACCAGCAGGTATGATATTTTCAAGGAAGGGTAAGATATAAAAATTGTTACAGTAGTGATCCTTTATATAATGGAATTCCTTTCTGACGTACAACCTGGATTATCAAACTAACGTAACCCAAGCTTAAGCATTTCAGCTCAACACTTTATGACAACCTTGTGTGAGATTTAAAAATACGTACAGGCCTGTCTGATGCAGATTTGAAACAAAGTGCTAACAAACATACATTGAAGACAGTATTTTACCTGATTCATTCAGAAAGTGAATCGCATGAGAGAGTTCATTTTCATCCAACTGTAACTGGCTTTCTTGTACCAGTTCCAGTAAGCGTTTCTGATCAATCACAGGAAATTCAGCTGGGACATTTTTACGTTCCAGCAAAATTCTCTTCTCCAGCTCCAGGTAGCTGTCAGGAATTAGCTGACCAACCACTGGCTGATCTCTGATCTGTATAATTAAGAATAATAATCTTAAATGTATTAATTTATTAATGTGAAGTGCAAACAATAGCACTAAGAAGTAAGGTGGGTATGTCCACTCAATAGTAGCAGCAAGAAGGAACAAGAACACTCAGTTGTTGACTAACATGGCTTCTGAAAGGTAGAAGTAACTAATTCTTCTTCCAGAATCACAATATGAATGTCCTTCTATAAATGAATACTCAAAGAAGAAAATATTTCCACATTACATGTACATAAAAAAATCAAAAAATTATGTTTTCTTAGAAATTCAAAGGGAAGCTTTGATTTGAAGTAAAAGGAAAATATTCACTGTATGAACAGATGATGTCATACATCTCAGGTTAACTCAAGACAATAGGTCAATGAAAAAAAAAAAGACACCTCTAGATAAACTGGGGAGAAAAGGGCATTAGCTCAATTAAAAGTCTCCACTGCTGGTAGTTGATGGACAAGAGAGGAGAAGGAAATAAATCTAGCCAGGTTAGTGACACTTAAGGGAAACACAGTTGGCTGCTTTTCCTGTTTCCTGAGCCTGAGTTCCTTCCTGGAGAAATCCTTTGACCTTTGGTATTAGCTAGCACCCAACCAGGTTTTTCATTCTCCATGGTGCTGGGCTAGTCATTTCTTTTCAGGAAACAGGAAACAACTTTCCCAACATTTCCAAATTGGCTTCTTAGTTTGTAAGAACTAATTTTGTGTTTATCTTCGCAGAGAAGCTAAACACCACTGTAGTGCTTTTATGTGTCAAAAATGTAATCAGTACCTTGTGAAAATTTAATTAGTACCTTGTGTAGTTTCAAAGACTCAGAACACTTGATGACAACGTTGAATACTTAACTAACTTTGTCTAACTTCTAAGCAGGTACCTTGTAACACTCCTTTCACAAAGTGTCTATATTATGTATAGAAACTATCCCCTCTCCTAAAGGTAGGAAAAGAAATGAAAACAAAACTGGTAATTTTTCTTCATTATTTTGCTGTGTGTAACATTTTATAAAAGGCAAGATCAGTTTGCTATCACACTAAAATGTATTTAATTATGTTTAACTAATGTTTAAAAATGTATTTACTTAACTAAACCAAGGATGTTTTCAACATTACAAACAATATGTAGCTTACCTTGAAGTGAAGACTCTCCTTTATTATGATTTTCCGAAGTCTCATAATGGAATCGGATTCTTCTGTAGCATTCACAAAGTGATAATCTTGGATTGCTGGGAAGCCTCGCCTATTCAACAGCTCTCTAGTAATTTTAGTCATGCAAGCCTTATATTGCATTTCATCAGAAACATCTAAATGAGTGCCAACAAGAATGACAGGGGATGTTGAAGCTCGAGCCTGTTAGTAAGATCCATACAGTCAATTAATTCAATAGCAAATGATGATGTTATTGTTTTATAGCCACATAAAATGTGAGCAATTCAGTCAAAACAATCAATACAATGAAAAAGCAACTGTTTCTCCCTCTTTAAATATGCCTCTTTTAAATAAGTTTGAAATCTGAAATACTATTTCATGTCTTTATTCAGAGTAAGTTTAAACTGCAGTCACATATAATAACCTTGACTGGATAAGGCAGTAAAAATGCATTGGCCTGCAAATACAAAACACTTTTTAACATAGAGAGAGCATATTAAAAAATAATCTTTTTCTAAAAGGAAGCAGTGTAGATCTGTGTTTCATGCTTTGCAGATTAATAACATTGTCAGTAAAACAGAGGGACAACTGCATTTTTCATTAACAATGCCCAACAAAACAGAAAAGCAAAGGGTACTCTGGTAGTTGTCATC